GGGGGGGGGTTCTCTAGAAATCTGATCAATAGCCTTGTGTTCAGAATCAACCATGCTACTGCACAATGGGATGTGCTTGTCTGTTTGATTGTACCCTGTAACTCTGATCTAACTTTTCACCTAAGGCTTCATTCACACAGGCCAAGAGACCCACTGGCAACCACTGATCACAATGGGGAAAAAAAACGTGTATTCTTCCATCAGTTGACATGGTTGCGGCCAGTTGCTGTGAAATCAACTGTAACCCTGCAGGTCTAAAGACCTGTCAGTGGCCCCAGTAGTCACTGGTTGCTAGTGAAACGTTTGCACTCTGCAACCACTTGGCAAGTGATTGCCGAAGGTTCTTACATGAAACTGGCTGCAATTTTCACTGTGTTATTTCAAATTTCACTAACACCTAACTACAAATATAGATGAGAAAGTATATCGCAAGTGTTTGCAGACAAGTCAGCATTATCAATACAAACTATAGGAAAGGCCAACCCAATCAATAGGTTTTTAGTCCAGCGCTCTCTTCACGATGGATCTGAAAATGTGACATCAAGGGTCTACGTGCCACAGATTGGCTAGTTAGTTGTGTCACTTGATGAATCATGAGAGAGTCTCCTTTACAAAAATCACAACAGCCATTTTTGAAAACCGGCAACAAGGAAAATGGAAAATTAAAAAATTTACACAACGATTTCCAAGTCTGACAAAAAGCCAGTTTGTACTTCATTGTAATGGGTAAGGAGTCGAGTTGATCCGCGTAGGTATTAATGGAAAGCAGTTGTTAGTTGTCGCAATAAAAGCCACTAGTTGGAAAACGCAGCAGCATTAGGTATCAAAACCAGTGTCTGATTCCATGAAACTCTTAAGTATTACAACTTTAAGAGATCACATTTTTATTAATTAGACCACTTCAACATTAGCACAGACAACAGGTGGGAAAAGCTGAGGATTTCAGGGAATGGTTACCTGTGGTGTTGCTGTTAGAGGTGGTGGGAACAACAGTAGTATTGGGGGTTGTAGGATTGGGCGTACTCACAGAGCCTGAAAATGGACAGGGAACCAACACCAAAAGAGGAGGTAAAGAGGAAAGCAAGACAAACCACTTAAACAACAAAGTTACGCTCAGACATTTCACAACAGTCTACAACAGCATTTTCTTTTAATGTTACAAACACAAACAAATAGGAAAAACAAGGAAAGACTCAGACTGACCATTAATCAACACCTTAGTTAGTGAGACAAACAGAATCTCTTAGAGCCCAAAACATCATGTTAAAATACAAGTAAAATGTTAATTTGCACTCTGGTGTGTAGAATAACAGTTTACTTTTAAACCTACCGGAGCAGCTGGCGTTACTGCAGGAGTCATTTCCTTTTAGAGTCCCATTGTAACAGCCAAGAGTTGCTGAAAGACAGAAAAGCATGATATTTTAAATGACTGGTTTGGTCAAATATAATATTAATTACATTTGCACAAGCAGTTAAACTAGTGTCAGCAACGGTTAATTACTGAAGTTACGCTCATACAGATTACAGAAAGCAGCCACAAGCAATAAAAACACACTCGGTGTACTCTAAAATAATATTCGATCTAAAAGAAAAGAAGCATATGTGCTAAAATGACGATCTCATTTATGCAAACAGCGATTTGATCTGCAGTGAAGCAGTTCTAATTCCTTATCTCCCCCAGAGCGGTTGCTCACACAGCCCCACATCCTGCAGTCATGGTGTCTTTTTATGTTCTGCTCCCCCATCATTACACTTCCGTATCATTTACTTTAAAGCTGAGCATGTCTCACACTAGTTTGTTTTATTTTTACTTTGTATTAATTTCAGATAATTGGATACCTTCTCAGGGATCACAGAAGTATTTAGATTATTTATTTAACTATGCGTAAAAACCCAGCCATCCAAAATAAAGCAAAACAGATATGTAAAGAAAAATCTTTATCACCTGTTGTCTCTAAGTATTTCACCACCACTTATTTAAACTGAAGGTCATGAGGGCTTGAGCCTATCCCAGCTGTCACAGGGTGACAGGCAGGGTACCTATTACAGTGCCAACACAGAGAGACCGATGACCATTCACACTCAGGGCAATTTGGAATCACCTCTTAACCCAATAAGGATCTTGAAACAGTGAAAGGAAGCCGAGTTATCTGGAGGAAAACCCACACAGGCACAGTTTATGATCGAAATATGGTGGAATGCCTGATATTTCAACAGGAAACAGTTAAAATGTTTTTGTTATTAATCCTATAACTGTGTAATGCATTCATACCACATGGATCGGGAATTCTCTTTCAGCACTGTTGGTGCGGTCTGAATTCCTCCACCTGCCCACGAGCTTGTGAACCCAGCATCCAAATAACTGTGGAAGCTGAGGGGGAGGGTAATCTGGACACCCCCCCCTGCACCACTTAATAGACTGGCAGTGGAGCACCTTCTCTAACATGGCAGCCTTGGACTTTTTTTTATTATTATTTATTGTGGTTCTTTATTTAATTTCACGTTGTTTTGAACTTCATTCTTTGTGTAATTTTTGCTTCGTGAAACCATTTTGCATTCTCATATCATACAGTTCATTTTTCTACTTGTAGTTTTCACTTAATGTTTTGGTTGCAGTAACTTGGGAATTTGCCACTTTTTGGGATAAACAAACCCCACAAATAGAAATAAGAAAAAGCAAATTAATTATAAGAAGCAATTTCATCTTTGGCTTGTTGAGGTTTAATCTCTTGCGTTTGTGTTTTAAGTCACCTTTAAGTAACCTGTAACTAAAGTGGACTTCAGCCCCCAAAACTTCCAGATATTTCGTGCGGAGCTGCATGCAAGCACCTGAATACTCGACTCAATCGGATCAGACATACAGTCAAAGTCCATGTAATGTCTGATTGTGCCCGTGGAAGACTACAGATGGTAATCGCAATCAGAATTTACAGCTAGTGAGTGGATATCATGTTTTTTTCCCCTCCTACTTGCGCTACTCGGACAGCATCTCTCGCCTTAACCAGTCGAAGCCTTTCCATTAGTGAGAATATGTATGAGGTGGATTATTTCCTTTTGTGTGCGATTCCCCGCCTTAATTCTCCAAACATTGTTGGAGGGTAATTTGTGAAAACCGTTTAAGGCTGTCAAAAAACGTGGAGACACAAGTTTCCCCCTCAAATATAAAGTAGAGTCATTGAGTTATATTCCCTCATTGTTTTCAGCTAAGGTGACTTCACCTCTGTTTTCCAGCCTGTTGGTTTTGGTCATCTAGTTGTATGATATTTTCGCAAATAATCTCATTACTTATTAACCACGACAGAAGGGGACTTTGCCCTTCCATGAAGTCTTGCCAGACCCAAATACTGACAAAAAGTTAAGCTGCAGGATTCACTGCTTTACAGACTTCATTAACAGGAGCAAATTGAAATTCCACAAATTCAGTCAATTTGTGCGAGTTTCTCCACTGCTCAGCCTGTGTCACAGTGACGTGACAATGAGTCACTCCTGTCAGCAGCACCGTGTGACTATACATTCTGTCCACACCCAGCTTCACAGTGCAAGTTTCACTGCTGCTGTTCAGCATGAACCACGTTTTACTAAAAGCTTTTGAAACGATTCTGCAAGGATCAATTGGCAATAATTATTAATTGATGGTGTTCAATTAAACTCCTGAAGTGTATGATGTGTTCCAGCTGAATGCTTGGGTCTACTTGAAGGCTATATTTTTGCAGGAATGTTAAAATGCTGGCTGTTGCTTCTCATGCAATGTTTTTCATTCTGAAACATGACCGTAAATAAAATATTCAAATTAAAATACTAAGAGTAACTCGATCATGAGGAGCAGTTTTCACCACTTTCAGACATGTTAAATACTAAATAAAGTCTAATCTGCAAGGGGGAGGAAAAAGAAAACACTATATGCATCCCTATTATTTAAAAATCTTACTTAAAATCATTTTAATTGTGCATTTATTCCATGAATATCAGTAACAAAGCCAGGAGTCGCAAACACACGGCTTACTGTCCCATCTCCAGTGACTCTAAGGCTCTGCTGTACCTCAATTGTGGTGACTAGCATGGATGTATAAACATAAATGCTTAGACCTCCTGAAAACGTAAATAAATATGTCCTTGAGGAAAAATAGCGAATTGAATCAGCTTGCTTTTACCAACAACACTGCTCTCTTTATTCTGTGCTCCATGTGCTACTGAATGTTCCTTTTTTGTTTACTTTAAATACAGTTGAAGCCAGTAGGCTGCTATTTATTTACGTATTCAATATTATAGCTCTATTATTGAACAATGACGTACTAAATCATAAATGGTCCACTGCATAATGGTCACATGTGGTAAAAGATTTAAATGACACCTATTAATAATGTTAATAAGGTTAATTTATACTTAAAAGGCTCTGTTACTATTAAGAAAAAATAAGCTATATCAAAAGCTGAAGGTAAAAACGCAAGTTAAGCATACCAACAATATAAAAAGACTAAATAAATAAGTACTTATTTGAGTCTGGCTCTTGATAGCAAAGGTTGCTGACCCCTGAGCCAAGCAGGGCTTTCATTTATCAGGAAACCTTACAGGACATAAAAACAGTTACTGAGTAACAGCAGGCACGCACTTTGCTGTCACTTGTCTACAGGACATTGATTCCTAACACCGTCTTTAAAGGAAATATCTTTTCACCGTCAGGACTCGGTTACAATAAGCTGCAGTAACATCTGGTGATGGGATAAGCCATCAATTACCCTTGACCTCGTCTTTTTGTGAAATCGCTCTCGCATTGGTTTATGAGCATATGGAGACATTACCATCCTGAATACAGGAACATCATAAAAGGGGACAGTTTCCATTCACTGCGCTGCACCTGGTGCTGTAAAACGTCATCATACACCACCTTTTCTTGTTACACTATAATCCAGAGCAGCCAAGCCCAATGACCCTCACCAGGTGGCTGCTCATAAATTAAAGACAAATCAACTTTTAACAGCAGGCGAGTCTGAAGCGGTTTACTGAAAGCATCTTTGGCTGAACAAAGTCAAAAATGACTCAGTAGCTGTATTTTCCACTCCACAAAGGGCTTATTTTGTGGTCTTGTGTATCAAGTTGTGCATTTTGTACCTTGGACACAAGCAACTACCAAGCAGCTACTGAATTATAATAACTGGTTTGACAAGCTCATGATGCAATGCTTCAGCATAGACTGTGTCACTGTGCTGCTCAAATGATTGTTGGCGTATTTGGTAGTTCTTCTGTTAAGTCGTCACTTGTGCCACAACACACAAATGTGCAGCTCTTCCCTGTTTTTACGCACATCCTGCTACCTTAGGCTGGAAACTTAAATGACTCATTACCTTACCAACTGTGATTTTCAAGAAGCCCACGAGCAAGTAAATTCGAAATGATTTGCCCGCCTTGTATTTCACACCTTGTGTGTGACCAGACCCTGCAGGCAACGTATGCTGAACCACGAAGAAAGAGCATTTTTCCCCCCCTCCTTCCTTTCACTCTCAAATAGGTCAGAGAGATGTTATCTCACAGCCAGCTGTGAAAAGGTAGGACACGCTCTCAGCCTTTCTCCAAAATGGTGCCATTATCATCACCACCCGGTAATATCCACAAATTGATGTCAGTGAAAGAAAGTCGCACAGGGCCTCAAGCATACCACAGAAAATAGCCTCATCTCAACCTGTACTTAAAAGGCACTACAGAGCGTGCGTCCACACGTGTAAACTTTCAAGCTTTTAAATACTACGCAGCCGGGAAATGACACTGAAGACCTGTTTATACAAAATCCCTAAACCAAAGATAAATCTAGTTATGACAGTGTAGGAGGCGGTTACTCGCTACATCAGTGTGGTTATGCTGCATTTCACAAAAGCCGACTTGGACGTGTCCAGAGCTGGCCTTTCCGGTTTTTGCTTAGTTCACTTCGAAGAGCTGATTCATTCACGACTGTGTGAGAGGTTTAGCTGTAGGCTTACACCAGGACTTTATAATGCAGCAGGCTTGAGAGCTGTTACAAAAGGCCAAGTAGACAAAACATGACTCAAGAGTTCTTATCTTATTTGGATAGAGTGCGGAAAAAAAACAACTGCTATCACAAATATTTGTGAAATAAAACTTATTAAAATTACTAGAAACCTAACAGGGCTGTCTTAATATATTTTCTGAAGATTCTGGGCTTTTGGCATCTGTGACTTGTGAGTTTTCCTCTCCGTCCGTGCGTAAACTGTAAACGCTGGCATATGTCTCCTTTGGGAAACCTACCAATCCAGTCCTCTGAAAAGAGGCACCTAACCGCCACCTCACCTCTCCTGTTTAACCACCCAACAAATCGTCAGGCAGTGTGCATCATCGTTTCCCTTTCAGAGACAAAGCAGGAGGAGGGTGTGGGATCAACTAATCTGAATACAGCTTCTCATCAGTAACGCTGTCAAACAGGTCAGCTCCCATGAGAGGTAAAGCGCAGGCACCTGTCTTATTAAATTTAACTGTTGCCTTTTGGCTTCAGTGGCCCAACCTGTGATACAGTTGAGATTACAAAGAGTTCTTTAACCGAGCCTAAAGGCAGAAGATCACCAGATACTTTTGTCTCAAACTTGAACTTGAGGCTTAAATTATAATGAAGAGAGCTTATCTTTTATCCAATCTCCACACTCTTTCCTGCACTTCTGTCATTATCCGCTCCTTCCTTCAGTTCCTCTGCAGAAGGATATTGCAGGCTTCCTGCCACACATCCTCTCACTTCCTCTCCCGATCATCATCTTCACAAATCACCAGAGACCTGTGCTGTGTCTCCTTCCATAGACACTGCACAAATATATAACAAGGTTCTCTAGGGTGATACAGTTAATATCCCCCTGGTGGGCCTCCACCACTCATTAGGATTAAAGAAGTAGTGTGCTTTAAGCCAAAAATGACAGAAGTTTAATTGTATAATTTAACTCCTATCTGCTGACTCAATTTGTGCAACAGACCTTTTATTTTTTAGAAAACAAGATCACAATACCCTGATCTCTGCTTTGCCCAATTAACCTGTAACTTTATTTCCTGGTAAGAGTGTGAAAAAAACCAAACTAAAAACAAAACACATCAAACCACAGGGGGAGGATGTAGTGAGTGAAAAGCCGTTACTTAGCCAGGAAATTATTTGTCATGTAGTTTTAGTCATGGCAGACCCTTGTAACTGAATAACGCATATTTCACATCACAGCCAGCACACTTCCAAATTAGGGCAGCATATTTCCTAACTGCTCTGCAAAAAGAGTATAAATCAGGGACACGTGAGAGCAGGCTCAGGTCTGGACAGACATCTGATTCGACTTTATGACAATAGAAAAAAAAGCAGCACAGAAATGAAGGGAATCGAAACCCCAACCAGAACTGAAAATAAACCTAAATGCCCTAAGGGAGAAAAAAAGCCCCTTATTAATCCCCCACAATCAATTTACTATGACAGTAGCAGAGCATTGCTCCAAACTTGGCTTGCATCCATAATTTACTTCCCAAAACCAGCCTGTTCAGATCCACTGGCACCAGCTGGTGATACCACATTAAGCTGCTGCTTGGGCTTTAGGGAAATAGGGATGAGATCATTGCTCTCTATACTGGGAATCATGCAACCAATAAACCCCAAGGCTTCTGGACATACAAACCTTTACTCTCATGCTTCAAAAATACAAGACAGGTACTCACATGAGCAATTAGCCCAGAGGCATTCAGATACTTCCACACATTTATCACATGAAGTTAGCCCGGAACATCCATCTGCAAAGAAATCAGATTTTAGTTATGGTTATTTGTCATTTAAAGTAACTTCCAATAGTTTCCCTGTAGATCACCAGAAGGTGGCCAATATACACATTTAAATCCTTTAAGCACAGATCATCAAAGCAAGCTGGTAAAAAGATCTTAAAATGTAGCTAAACTAACCCGTTTATATTTCATAACAACCCAGTCAGATGGATATGACAGTTTGGGTTAAAGCGAGGGTCACAATTCCTCTTAGAGGTCGCACCATGGCACAAATAATCCCACTATAACGAGCTCAAAAACAAACGCTAGCTAGTCCTCGAGTCCTGAGTGGCCAGCGTGGACATAAAGATGACAAGCTGCTAGAAGGAAAGAAGGAGGGGGTGGTATTTTACTTTTACGTAAAGCAGGACATTTTATAAACTAATAGGAGGTGACCGAAAATGGAGCCAAACGGGCAGGGAGATATATCTGTTTCCCGGGGGTGGGTATCCGGCTAAAGAGCGGGGTTGTAGCTAGCTACTAGCTCGGCGACGAGAGGTCGCGAAAACTTACCTGAGTCTGCCGCGACTGCCGCGCCAATCAGAGCCAGAGCCACCGCGAAAAACACCACCTTCACGTACATGACTGCGGACAACTTATTGCTGAGCCTGCTTCAACAGGGGTGGAGAGGGGGTAAATGTATCTTGAGAGAGGCGTCGAGAACGAGACTCGGGAGATTTCACAGCTACCCCTCTGTGTTGCGTTTCGTGCCGCCGCTGTTCCTGCTGCTGCTCTCTAGCTTCAACACTTCCTACTTGACAGGTCATGTGGCAGCTCCTAGGGAGGGGTGAGAAAAATCAAGAAATGGGCCGGCAGTACGTCAACAACAGGGAAGGGAGGAGGGCGTCTTAAAGCGAGGAAGAGACTGCACTTCTGATTGGCTGAGACCCTGTTTAAAACACCTTATGAAAGAGCACCTGTGCCTCAAAACACCGTTAAAATAACTTTACACTGAAGCCGGGATGGACACGCTAGAGGGCCATGAACGCACCAAGACGTCCTAGTTTAGGTCAGTTTTAATGATGTAAACCAGGGGTGTCAAACATAAGGACAGAATCGGCCTGCCAAAGTCTCTAATGTGGCCTGCTGGGCTTTTTTGAAAAACGTGAAGGAGGATAGTTTTGTTTTGATTCTAAAATGTCATATGTGCTACAAAAACAAAAAACATGTTATTTCTGCAAAGTAATTCACAGCAGTTACATGGTAAAGCATTTTAATTAATGGCCCTTGGTCATGATTCTAGTTGATCTCAAGGTTATTATAGTTTACTAAAACTAAACTAAAACCTCAAATTGAATGTGGAAAAAATAAAAATAAAAACTAGATAGATAAATAAATAAATCTAAACTAAAAAAAAAAACATTTTGAAAAACCAGCTTCTTCTTCATCATCTGCCTCCATCTCTCTATATGAGGTGCATCCTCCTTTGTAACACATTCCCTCTGCATGTCCCACTTCACTACATCCAAAATCCTTCTCTGTGCTCTTCCTCTTTTCCTCCTGCGTGGCAGCTTCATCTTTTACATCCACTATCCCTGCTCTGCACATGTCCAAATTATCTCAGCCCTGCCTCTTTTTGTCTCCAAAACGCTCAACCTGAACCGTCCCTTTGATTTACTTGTTTCTAATCCTGTCCATCCTAGCCCCTCCCAATTAAAATTTTAACATTTTTAACTCTGTCAATGAAGGAAAACTTACATGTGAGTAATATTATATTGAGTTTGTTGACAGATTTAGGACAAGCCTGAACTTTTTATCCTGACAGGGTGTTGACCCCGTGGCTCTGTTTTGCTTTGTGGAGCTATTTTGTGGCTTGGTTTGGTTGCACTTGCCATGTCAGGGAGAAAGGGTCGCTGCAAATCAATGAATCGTTGTTCTGAGTCAAGCATTTCCATCCTGATGATGCGGGTCTCTACCAAGAATACAATGCCCATATTCATTGGGGATACGCTGACCAGATGTCAACAACCAAATGTGGGCTAAAGATTGTCAGTGTGGCCAGACATTTTTATATATCTTACCTAAACACACATAAAGTATGCAGGGCAAATGTTTGGCAATGGGAAGTCAAGGTCAAGGTCAAGTTTATTTATATAGCACATTTCAAACAGCCGATGCTGCACAAAGTGCTTAACAATATAAAAATGGCATTAAAAAGCAACAATGTAATACAATAATACAAATAATCCTCGTGGTTTTTCCTGGAGCATAAGCAGAGAGGAGCTCAGACAGGTAAGGAGGGGCTCGGGTGTTAAGTGACTTAAAAACAAAAAGTAAAAGTTTAAATTGGATCCTGTAGGAGACAGGAAGCCAGTGTAAAGAAGCTAAAACTGGGGTTATATGCTCTCTCCGTTTGGTACCAGTTAGCAGGCGAGCATCTGAAGACGATGGATGGTGGCCTGGTCTAGACCATAATACAATGAATTGTAGTAATCCAATCTGCAAGTAAGGAAAAGGTGAATAACACGTTCAAAGACGTTAGCTGGGAGGTATGGCTTTACCTTGGCTAGCTGTCTTAACTGAAAGAAGCAGGACTGAACTACTGCACTCACCTGCTTATTCATTTTAAAAGAACCATCAATGTAGACACCGAGGTTTTTTACATGTGTTTTACAATAGGAGGAAAGGGGGCCCAGAGTGCTATTGATGTGATTAAAGTTGCCAAAAATGACAATTTCAGTTTTATTTTCATTTAGCTTTAAATAATTTAATGACAACCACTGTTTGACGTCATCAAGGCAGCGTAATAGGAGCTGAGGATGGTCTGACCCTGCTTTTAAAGGTAGATAAATTTGCAAATCATCAGCAAAAAAGTGAAATGAGTCAAGATATACCATGTCATCAGTAGGTAATGCTGTATGAGGACCCCAAAAGCAAGCAATGATCAAAATAAAGAACCTCTGTTGGAGGTGCAAATGGAACAATCCAAAAAACAGATAAAAACAAAGTTCACTGGAGTGGAGACACTTTTGGAATTACAGAGGAGTGACCTAAATCTAATAACGAGACATGGAGATGTAAACTAAAGGACACAACTAACAAAATAACACAGAAAGTAATGAAACAGGGATTCACTGAGGGAGACTAGACTATCCATGAGGAACAAAGGGGTAGTAGGGTAAAGTGAAAGGAGTACCATAAACTTAACAGTAACTGGAACAAAAAGCTAAACTAAGAATCAAACTGAACATAGTTAAAGATCAAAATAACTTAAGACTCCAGGCCAATAGAATCTTAAAAAATCTTGCCATGTTAAAAGCTCAATATAATACAAAAAGGATCTCCAAAGGTAAAAATGCAGTGCTCGTGGTATGAGGAAGAAAAGCCATCCTCTGTTAGTCCTTGTAAAAAGTGATGAAGAGGATGGCTCTTGTGAAGAATAGATAAACTGTACTTCTCATACTTTAATTGTATGCCATTTTCCCAACTTCCTTTAAGCATAAGTAAAAGCTCATTTGTTTTTATGCCATTATGCGATAACCTGTGAATTGCCTTTTACAACCCCAGTAACTGTTGAAACTGTCAGCTTATTATCATAGCGGCTCTCTCTGTCCAGTAGACGTATTTGGCTTTTCAGTGAAGATCCCTCTCACAGTAAAAGTTTCTGTACACATCAATAAAAAAGCAAATTTCACAGGTTTTACTTGTATAGAAGATGAATTAAGAAGATGAATAAATATTGCAATAAAAGCCCTATAACAAGTTTACATCTGTCAAACATGCACATAGCGGATGGTGTCTAATTCATCAAAAAGAATGAAACAGCTTATTGACTTAAAAATGCAGTTTTAAAAAAAATCAAAATGCAAATGTGAAGCTTTTATTTAACAAAAAAAGAAAAGAAAACATGCATACCATGTTTATTTTACTGATTCAAAAACTGAGGAAAAAATGCTTAAAAATGTATCAATGATTAAAGCTTATGAGCTCTGGTTTAAGCACTCCACAGGCTATAATTCTACACTCATACTTGGGCCTTTCATTGCAAGTTGGAGCTTCTTCTAACCTCCTCAGGACATCGAGACCCTCAACGACTTGACTGTAAAAGAGAAGAAAAGAGATTTAACTTCACTTTTGAAGCTACGTGAGAGCTGTGGGAATTAAAAAGATGTGTTTCAGCTAAAATCAGATACACCAACCCAAAGGCAACATAGGTCTTATCCATCCATGGCGTTGGCTGTAGGGTGATATAGAACTGGGATCCATTGCTGTGGGCACCTTTATTAGCCATTCCCAGGATGCCGCGCTTAGAGTGTGAAATGGCAAAATTCTCATCTAAAAGAGGGGCAGGCACGTGCAAGTTCAGGTGAACATTTATAGAGGAAGCACAAGTAAATCAATGCTGGCTTCTTCTTTTTCTTCTTCTTTTTCTTTAGGGATCACTTCAGTGGATCACACGCTATCACCTAAATATCTGACATCATTCATTAATGTGGAAAGTTATTTGTAAATATAGTAGATCTTAAAGTGCAGCCATTTCTTTGAAATATAGAACTTTAGCTTTTTGCTTAATATCTTCTGTCATCCATGAACCTCCTCCTCTTTTCCTCCTGCCTGGCAGCTCCATATTCAACATTCTTTGTCCAGTATATCCACTATCCCTTCTCTGCACATGTCCAAACCATCTCAGCCTTGCCTCTCTAACTTTGTCTCCAAACTGTTCAACCTGAGCTCTCCTTCTAATATACTCTATAATCATCTCCCTTCTGGTCACTCCCAGTGAAAATTTTAATATCTTCAACTCTGCCACCTCCTGCTCGGCCTCTTGTCTGTTAGTGCCATTGTCTCCAAACAATGCATCATAGCAGCTCTCACTACCATCTCCTACACATTCTCTTTCACTCTCGCTGCTCTCCTTCTGTCACAAACACCCCTGACATTCGTCTCCACCCACTCTACCCTGCCAGCACTCTCTTCTTCACCTCTTTTGTTGCTTTGGATGGTTAACCCCAGGCAATTAAACCTATTCACCTTCACTACCTCTGCTCCTTACATATCCATTTTCCACCCATTTCTCTCTCATTAACACACATATTCTGTCTCGCTTCTACAGAGTTTCATTCCTAGTTTGTGCAGTGCGTACCTCCACCTCTCCAGACTCTTTTCCACTCACTCCCAACTCTCCCTACATATCACAATGTTGTCTATGGACATCATAGTCCAATAGTGTAGTTATATAGTATGTTCTAAACATAACGCTGTAGAGCATACCTTCAAACATTAGCCCGTAGATTGACTCGCCTCCATTTCCTTTCCTCTCTGGAGAAATATCTGCAAAATTTATAGGTACAGCCACAACTGTACTGCTGACTTTAATGAATACATTTAATGAATCCATTAAAACTATCTAAACAGTTTATCAACATATTTATGAGAGTGTTTAATATATCACAGATCGTGAAATTTTCTATATCTATATTTAAGTATGATGTCACATTATATATATATATTTTTTTTAATACATGTGTACCTCCACCCTGCACCCATCCATTGGGTACAATCCGATGAAACAGAGAGCCTTTATAGCAGAGTGGGAAGCCACTCTGTGACAGTCCTTGCTCTCCTGTGCACAGACCCTCAAAGTTCTTGGATGTCTTTGGACAAATATCTGAGAAGAGCTGAGCAGAGCAGGGGAAACACATCTGTCACATCACATCTGTAATAATCAAATATTTCCAATATTTCCAGTCCAATGTTTAGACTGACTGTCTTAAAAGATCCTTGAAAAGTAGCAGGATGCCAATGAGTTTGGATCCTATGCCTTATGTGTCAAAGTTGGCTCACCTCAAACATTAACCTCCCCGCAGGTTCTCCCGCAATCTCAACATCCATGAAGACAAACTGATGCTACAGTGAAAGAGCAGAGGCATGTTGAATATTTTATATAGTGAGAGGTGGACTCAAATGCACAATGCAAAATATCTGGAAAGGCATGGAGTTACACCAGACATGAGCAGTACTGCCAGAGATAAAGTGTGTAATCCAAACAGGTTGAAGTAGCTGACTGAACTGAAGAGCCCCAAGGAAAGAAACAGTGAAAAAGAAAGACATAAGCTTAGAACACTGAAAGAAGAACACGAGACTATTTATACACCTCGAGCGCTTTTTTCCCCTCCCAAACACGATGTTGTCATCAAATACATTTTTCAACAATAAAGTTTTAATATTGAGTGTGTGCTCCCTTTAGTTATTTTGATTAGGTATAAAATGTGCTGCATCCCAACATTTTTCGAAAGAATCTTACATTAATTGGTTTTCAAATCATATTCGCGACTTTAAACAGTCATCAGAAAGATACACTTAATGAGCCACTTTTTTTTTACTAATGAAATAACAACTAAATATACGGTGCTGATTTGCTCCTTGATTCCCAATACAGAATGTAAATAAACTGTCTATATCAGGGCTGTAAAACACAAGGCCTGGGGGCCAGAAATGGCCTGGCAAAGACTCCAATCTGGCACACTGGAGAGCTTAGGAAACATGAAGGAGGGTGTAAATTCTGTATTTTTGTATTTTTGATAAATACCTCTCCCATGAGCATAGTACACAAAAGTAATGAAATAGATGACACTAAAATTCACCTTTTCAACTATGTACTACAAAAATTTCTGTTTTTAGCAGAAAAAAATGAATTTTACAGACTTTTTACAGAGAGGTTCTGTAAAATAATAAAAATATTTTAATATTTAATATAATATTTAATATTTAAATATTGTAAAATGAATTTGACTTCTCTGGTCAACATATTTTTACCTATATTGGATATTTAAGTGACAGTGTTTGCGTGACTTGCCCCAGTTTTCTGGAGGTGTTCGATGTAGTACTCCTCAGCAAGAATCGTGTAGAAAGCTTGCGGCCGGGCGAAAGTGAAACCCCACTGATTCTCGGCCCAGCTGGCGAGATCCTTTTCATCACCGAGGAGACGGCCGTTCAGAAAGCACATCAGGCTGCTGGAGTACTGCCACACTTCACCACGCAGCTCCTTGAATCACAAGTTTGGAACAACAATGAGCGTGCTGTGATTCAGCGTTCCAGAATAGCCGTAACGTCATAAATCACAGTAGTATTTTACTGTGTAGGTTTAGAGCATCAAGAACCCCCAGAAACCTGCTGCCGTCCACACGTTCACCTCCACTATTTATAACGCCATCACTCATTTCAGATGATGCCATCGAACAACAGCTAAATTTCTATATTTCAAAGGAAAGACTGCATTTTAACTTCCGCTACATTTACAAATAACTTTTCCACATTAATTAATTATGTCAGTGTCACATTTGTCCATACAATCTATTTCTATCTGACAGCAGTCGGGTTGAGTTAACCCCTAACTAAATATTATCATCCTTCTTCAGACTGTAAGAGGCTTAGCACCTGGTACTATGCCTATACTGAGCTCAAGTTTGAAAATAGTGATGATGCTTCAAGAATTTGGATGTCCGGTCGAGATGTCCGACAGCAGATATGGAAACCTGTAAAAACACAGTTTTCCAGGCAGGATTAGACTGATATTTTATATGCAGCTTCACATTTATAAGACACAAATATCCTTAAAAGAAGTCTAAAATAGGTCATGTGTGTTATTCCTCAGGTATGACCCCAAGTAACATATTCAAATGACCTTTGAAAGAGCGAATTTCTGTTAATATTATATATAATATTGTGATAGTGCTCGCTTTCTCTCTGTCTCTCTCTCTCTCTCGTATTTTCCTGATAACAACAATAATACTGAAATAATGTTTCATGGTTCTGGGTATTTCAGTTTTTTGAGTTTTGGGATGTTATGAGTTTTCTGTGAGCTCATGTTTTTTTTTGATTTTGTAATTTGATGTATTTTGTCCTTTCAGTGCTTGCTCCCCTGTGTTTCCAGTCTGTTCCTCATTCAGTCACATAATCTTTAGTTATCATCTTTTGTGATCCAATTCTGTCTCCCCAGTTAGTCATGTCTCCATGTTTCTTTATTGCTGCGTCATGTCTTAATCCTGACTTCATCCATCCATCCATCCCATTCTTTTCTGCTTATCCTTTTCAGGGTCACTGGAGCCTAATCCAGCTGTCATAGGGCGAGAGGCAGGGTACACCCTGGACAGGTCGCCAGTCTGTCACAGGGTTAATCTTGACTTGTGTATGTTATTTACTCTTTTATTTTTGATAGTAGACAAAGTTTATGTGTCAAACTTTGTCTACCAGAGAGTGAAACCTGACATGATGTATTGCAGCCAAGGTATTTACACTTGATGTAAATGAGGACCTAGTGCAACTATAGTAATGTCTTTTGGCTTTCATATGAATGGCTTAAGATTACGAATGTTTAAGGTTCTGCATATGTTAGCAAGGTGTGTTATTGCATTGTAGGCTTCATGATTATCCAAAATTAATTTTCACTTCAGGTCAGCTGGGATAAGTGATTAATATAGGGAATTTTAGAATAGAAACTATTCCACCATATAATCCTCTAATATGTTTATATGGAACAGCTGACTTGTACAACGTGCAGAAGAACACAAAACATTATTTAATATAAGATCACAAGTTTCTCCATAACCTCGGACCTCCATCTCTCTCTGACCTTCTGCACATTGCCACTCATTCACACTTGGAGTTACTCCTCGCCCGACCACTCTGGGCATTAGAGCTTTCCGCCACGTGGTCCCTTGTCCTTGGAACTCTCTCACCACATTCACAACATTGAGTCGTTCCCTATGTCTAAAGCCAGCCTTAAAACACATCTTTTGAAGCTTAGCTATTCTGTTTCATTTTAATTTTATTATGCTTTGAGTTTTAATTCTATGATTTCTTTCTAACTGTTTTATTTTATCCATACTGTGATTTTCTTATTTAATTGCTTGTAAAGTGTCTTTAAGTATTTCTAAAGCTCTCCATAAATACAATGCATTGTTATTATTATTGAATCCTCAGTATGAGGACTGAGTGAAGAGTTCGCTCACAGCTTTGCGTTAATGCAAAGCACTGATTACGCACTTGTTTGGATAACATCTCTCCTTCCTAAAAATAAACCCTACTTATAACAACAATCGAAACCACAACATGCCCAAGTGTTGTATGTTGTGCAATTTTTCCGTATATTGTGTGCTGCAGATTTTGTGAATCATATTTAGTTTAAATATTCTCCTCAAGAAAGTGAAATTTCTACACATACATAGACAATAAAGGCCAGCCGCAAAAATATTCCTGTTTACAACTTTCAGTCACAAAGTGGACTTTGTGCCACTTGAGTAGCTCCAGCAGCTTTGTAACATCAGAAGCCAGCTCTGCATGGTGCAGACATGAGTAAATCTTGCTTTAATTTTCCTTTTTCTCAAAGCACTGCTCTTCTCTTATCAGTTCTCCTACCCACCTTTTCTTGACCTTGATGACGTTAGGAAAAAGAGATAGGAAGGGCTTTTGGAATGCACCCTGATCATCATCGCTCCCCGTGTCTAATTTCTCAGCTGTTTCCACTTCCCCGATTGTTCTCTGTGTCTGTGTTTTTGTGTATGTATTGCTTCAGTCTTCCCTTTGTCCTTGTTCTGATGTCTGTTGCCTTCCATCGTGTGTTCCCTGTCAAATTCTGTTTGGCTTTTTTTTTTTCAATCCACCATTAAATACCTTATGTTAAATCCTGCCTGCTGAGTCTGTGTATATAATAATTTCAGGTTATTATCTCAAACTTTTGAGTTATCTATGAGTAAGAGGAAATTAAGAGAAACCAATCAACAATTTTGATGCACAGATGGAAAAAATAGTTGAATCTATTAAAAATGTCCAAGAAATTGATCTTTGAGCTCATTCTTCTTTCAGCTGCTCCTTTTAGGATTTTGCCACAGCACCTCATCTGCTTGCATTTCAGATCACATACATAGAACTTGGTGACAGTGGGAAAGAAAAGCACCATTGTAACAGGAAGAAACGTCTAGTGTTACTTTCTTTTTAATTTTTTAAAATTAATTTCAGTGTTTGGTTTAGTATCTTATTATTATTATTATTATTATTATTATTATTATTATCATCATCATCAGGGAAAGTATTTATCAGGGGGCAGGTTTAAGTTTTAGTTTTTGCCAGTTTTTACAAAGCAAAAAACATTTTGTTACATACCCTCTTCTTGTCGCAGAGATACCCGTGCCACTCAAATTCAAAAAGTGGCCTAATTTCTGGATCCAGAAACGCCGCAGGAAACTGCTGTTTTAGTCCCTGTTGAGCAGAGTGGACAGATACGGGTGAAAGGTCAACAGGTTAGGTGAAATTAAACCAGAGAAAGCGTTAGTGTACCTCGGCGATGCTTTTAGCAACGTGGAAACTGCAGTCTTTAAGCACACCCACAATTTCAATGAGCATTTTTGAGTCCATGGTTGAAAAGAGAGCGACAGTAAACAGACAATTCACTGTAAACGGTGCCTCGTATCCATAGCAACGAGGATTTGAAGGCGCTTTAATATGACGTCTTATTTAGTGCGCCGGGCTTCGACCGACTCTGGGGACTGTTTCCTTCATTGCTACTTTGTCCTTCATAATTTATTGTTTATTTAAAGCTAAATTAATCTGTTAATAAATATAACGACTATCACCTTGTAGATGCAGTGTAAACCTCTCATCTACTTTGTTTTCAGAGCAAAGCCAATTAATGCAGAAACAAGGCAATGTTAGTACGTAGACCTTTAACAAAATGGGACGCGGCCCAATGGCGCCACAGTTCGAAAACTCCGACTTGCTGTACAGTTTTTGTTGTTGTAACATTGGGGGTTTTTAAAATACATTTCTCCGTTTTTAATTGGTTAAAATCCACTTGTGTGTAAATATGGGCGTTCAGGATTTGTGGTCTATCGTGGAGCCGGTTCGTGAGTCGGTGCCTCTGTACAGTTTGAGCGGAAAGACGCTGGCAGTCGACCTGAGTTTGTGGGTGTGCGAAGCCCAGCACGTCCAAGCAATGATGGGGAGAGTCACGAAGCCCCATCTGAGGTAATGTCCTCATAATAAACTCATTGTGATGTTGCCTCCAAGTAACTATAAATTTAAAAGCTTTTCTTACTCCACGGTGTATCCAGGAATTTATTTTTCAGGGTATCATCCCTCACACTGATGGGGGTGAAGCTCGTGTTTGTTATGGAAGGAGAGGCTCCAAAAATTAAAGCAGAAACCATGAACAAGAGGACAGAAACAAGATATGGAGGCTTCAAGAAGAGCACTGCTCCGAAGTTTGCAACAGGCACCAGCAGGGGGCGCTTTAAAGCCGTGCTGAGAGAGGTGGGTCTGTAATCTCCTGCTCAAAAGAAAACGTCTGTGGTTATCTCTGCCCACTTTTCAGCTTGCTACGACGGCATTTTTTTTTTTAAGGCGGTTCCATTTTGGTTGAAAAGGCTTTTTAGTGTTGTAGGGAGGTTTTTTCAGTTTTGGGGAAAATTTTAAATTGTTTATTTTAAAACCATTGTTGGGAACCCCCCTTTTTCTTGGAAAAAAATGGTCACATTTAGAGAAAACATTATAAATTCACAAGAAACATACCAGCAAACAGAAGAAAATAGTTAATAATAATTTAAACATTTAGATTAACTTTTTTTTTTTTTACATTTTTTAAATTTGGAGGAACAACATGAAGTTATAAGGACAAAAATGGCAAACTGGCAAGAATTAAAGTCAGATTTAGAAGCTTCATGAAAGAAGTTAGATTTTTGAGAAATAAAGAAAAAACAACAATAAACATGTACAGAAACATTTTTATATTACACCTGTAGGAAATAACTGGCAAATTTACTTGAAAATATGAAAGTCTATTTGAAAATGTATGACAAATTGTGTTTTTTTGTCAGGCAACAATATTTTTATTTACCTTTTCATGGTTAAGTTGTAAATAAAATCAAATATTTGAACTCCTGGGATAAATTTCTCGTTTGTAATTGTTACCTCCAGTGGCCTTACATCTCTTTGTACTCCCTCTGTAGTGTGCAGAGATGTTGGACTACCTGGGTGTACCGTGGGTGACAGCTGCTGGAGAGGCTGAGGCCATGTGTGCCTACCTGGACTCGCAGGGCCTGGTGGACGGCTGCATCACTAACGATGGAGACGCTTTCTTGTATGGAGCCCGTACTGTGTACAGGAACTTCAACATGAACAGTAAAGTATGTCTGTGGAAGTTAATCTTAAGAAAAACCTCTTTGGAGTAATAAGATGCGGTTACTTGTGTAATTACGCTACAGATGGTTTGGAAATCCTGCAGCCTTGAAGCTATCATTCACTGACCTGCATGTATTTTATACTGCAGGACCCTCAGGTGGACTGTTACCAGACTTCTCGAGTGCAAACAGACTTAAATCTGTCCAGAGAGAATCTTGTTGGTCTGGCCATTCTCCTTGGCTGTGATTATATTCCCAAGGTAGTGAAGACACCTTAATCTAAAATCGGCTAAAGGAAAATCTGTAGTATCAATGCTTTTTGTTTACTGAATGCTTTCCTGTTTCCATAAGGGCATACCAGGTGTTGGCAAAGAGCAGGCTCTGAGGCTCATTCAGACACTGAAAGGACAAACACTCCTACAGAGGTAGAAAATACAAACACACGTGAATGTAGCTAAGCAGTTTCTCTCTACGTAGCCCGAGTTAAAGGTTGTGTTCGTGTTCTTTCTGATAACTACAGGTTCATCCAGTGGAATGAAGAGACCACAGAAGTGTTTGAAGGAGGTGTAAAGAAGGTTCCTCACTGCAACTTGTGTCGACATCCTGGTGAGTGGTGCCCTGCTTTGAACTCTGACCTCCACTCCTGATCCTGTGGCTATTTTAAAGCCTTTTAAACTGTCACGTCAAAACATGCAAGTATGTGAGAGATTTCAGCATCTGAGACCCCTTACTGACTGTTATTCTTTCGTTATCAGGATCAGCTAAGACTCACGAGTCCCGCGGATGTGTGCTCTGCGGCAGTAATCGCTTCTGTCAGCCTCAGGATTTTGATTACCAGTGTCCGTGTGACTGGCACCGCTACGAACAGACTCGCCAGGCCTTGTCTTTTGAGGCAAACATCAGGAGGTGAATGGCAATTCAGAATGTCAAAGCTGATTTTCTGCTATTTAATAACTATTAAGCTAAACAGACAAGTTCTTTTTTGCAGGAAAACACTGGCAAGTCAGCATTTCCCTTTCACTGAGGTACATTTTGATCTTTCTATTTTATTTTTTATTAATAACTTGACAAATAATTTGAGTCATTTTTAACGCTTAAACCATGTCTTGCAGATCATTCGTGAGTTTCTGGTTTCCAAAGATCAGCCTGTGTCACATTTTAAGAGGAGGAAGCCAAATATGCTGCTGATCCAGGTTAATGGGTTTGTAAATTATTAAGTGTAAGGTCATCTGTTCGGCGGGCTGCGTGTAAACATTTACGTTTTGTGTCTCTAGAAATTCGCCTATGATAAGATGGAGTGGCCGAAGCACTACACCAGCGAAAAGGTGCTAGTGTTGATGACCTACGCTGAGCTGATGAACCGAAAATATGGAACAGACATGTCCTGCCAAGTTGAGCCCATCCGGTAGTGTTACAGTTTTTAATGTCAGATAAATTATCACTTTTATGACATTGTTATTATAACAGCTTTACATTCTTAACTTTCAACCTTTTTTTCATGCTAAAGAATATTTAAACCAAGAGTGAGGAATGGCGTTGCTTGCTTTGAAGTCATCTGGAGAACACCAGGTCAGTTTAAATCCCATGATGGGGAAAAAGGCACAATTTACTCACAGTATACAATAGAAGGGGAATAAAAGTGACACTCAAGAATAAAAAGCTGATTTGAGTGACAGTAGTACTGTGTTTAGTGGAGGTTGGGGTGCAGGGTGCTCGTCACCGAGTTGTCTGTTAGTGACTGGCTGTGAGGTGGGGTTCAGAGGTGACAGATCAGTCACAACAGGCACTAGGTGCTAAAGTGGCTTCCTCCCTGAGCTGGGAAATCTGTCATATTAAAGCCCCCTTAACTAACAAGCCTGTCTGATGTGAGTGGCGTCAGAAAATCTCAGCTAACTTGGATTGTTCTATATCAGAGGAAGGATATAAATGTAGAAATGACAGAGCTGAATACGTATTTTGAAGTAACACCAGTTGAAGTAAAAATGATAAATCTATGTTTTTATATCAGAAATAGTGATTTACAGTTTGATTAGTGGCTGTAAATTCTATTCCTCAGGGTAAATACAGTTGGCTCCATAAGTAAGCTTGTCTTCATACTCTACCATGGCATATTTTAATTTGGACGATGAATATGTGATTGGCTGCAGACATTAAGTTTCAACTTGAGGTGTTTTACAAAAGTGCTACATTAACTGTTCAGGAATTGCAGCGGTTTTTATGCACGGGCCTCCGAGAGGCTCAAAATTTGGTAATTTTGTTAACTGACAGGCAGTTTCATGGCTGGGTAAGGCCCGTCCCCTTGATGTTCCATGACAAATTAAGCAAATAAAGGATCTGGAGTGTATTCCAAGTGTTCAATGTGTATTTTTTAGCTTTTCACTGCAACTCAATATGAGCCACAAAAGAGATGCCAGTGTAATTGAAGGAAGCCAACTGCTCCTTCCTCACAAGGGGTTGCCACACCAGGGAGCTCCACATGTTTAATGTGACAGAGGTTTTATCCCAGATAAAGCCATCATTAGACTAAAAAACAAACAAACAATAAGATCCCAACAAAATAAACCTATTAGAGAGTTTGCAAAATATTTAGGCATGGCCAAATCTAAAATCTGGTGCAATCTTAAAAAGAATTAGTGAGCTGATCAGCTCAGCAATACCAAAAGGACTGCAAGACCACAGAAGACAGCTAAAGTACATCATGACAGACTCATTTCCATGGCTAAGAAAAACAACTCCAAAACATGGCCTACAATCAAGAGGCACCTTCATGAATGGATATTGAGGGATCATTAACAACGTGCAACCCACTGGTTACAGTCAAGAACAAGAGGGCCAAATTAGACATTAGACATAAAACCAATATTAAGTTGTACCAGGATTATGAGAAGAGAAAGAGAAAATGGCTAAGTATCCAAAGTACATCAGATCATCTGTCAAGCATGGTGGAGGTAATGTTATGACATGGGCTTGTATGGCTGCCAGTGTAACTAATTTACAAATGTTTATTGATGATGTGACTGCTGATAGATGTAGGATTTGGCCAAATGCTGCAAAGTGGATCAGACAGTGCTTCACAATTCAAATCGATAATGACCCAAAGCATAGTGCAAAAGCAACCCAAAAGGTTGGTGAACAATAGGCAAAGAAATTGGATATTCAGACGGTGCCTAGCAGAGCATCTCAAGGGAGGAAACGGCCATTCATTGACTGCAAAGGATTTTACCAAAGTATTAAAAACAATCATCATTTAAATTATAAATTCATTCAGTTAATTTTGAACTTCTGAAAACAGGGAACTGTGCATAAAAGTGGCTGACACTACAGGATTTTTGTACAGCCTCTTGAATTTAAGCTGAAAGTCGTCTCTACAATCACATCTTGATTGTTTGATTTAAAACAATGTGGTGGCGTACGTAAGCAAAACTACAAAAACTGTCATAACTACTCTTTTTTTTTTTTTTCAGCTAACTGTATCATCATCTGATAATTTTGTCATGGTTTAAAATAAGTAAATAATATGTAAATAAGTTGCATATTAATCTAAAAATAGCTTAATTTCACAAGGACATTGTCTCTCAAAATTTCTACTTCCTGGTGCCTTAATAACGAGAACGAAAGTGCTGAGAACTGCAATGATCAGTGAACAGGACATTAATGGACATTTAGATATTTGAATTTATTACTCACTTTTTAAGGCAAAAAATATGAAAAGTTTGAGGAGTTTAAATACTTCAGTGTGAGAAGTTGGAGCTGATGTTGATGTCTGTTCTGCAGAACATTTTGTGTTTCCTGAGGATCGGCCTGCAGAGGAACAGCGTGAGGTGAGGACGGTGGAGGAGGAGTCTCTGTTTCGTGTGGCCTACCCTGAGCTGGTGGAGACCTACCTCAGACACAAAGCTCTGGCTGAAGAGAACAAGACAAAGAGTAAGACAGTGATTTATGATATCCACTTTAAATGCACAAAGTCCATTTTAGCTATGTGCTTTACACATAGCTAAAATCTTCTCTGCTATGACAAGGCCATCCCGATCAAAGACACTTGCATCTTAAACTTGCGTCTCAACACTGTTTATTATAGCAGCTGGGACACATGCAAATGTAGCTGGTTCACAGCAGAGGCCTTGATTCAGCTATCTCATAGGTTCTGTTTTCGTTTTATACAAACTGAGCTTTGAACACACAAATCATCACTGCTATCTAGATTTAATTCCTAGTTTGCAGGAAAACTAGGCACAGACACTGAAAAAGTATTAGGATTAACAGGAAACTAATTCAGATAATCTTCTGATAACGTGTCTTCTTTTACAGAAAAGAAGCCAAAAAGTAAAAAGGAGAAGCCCTCGGATGGTTTATCAGACCTCTTGGCTCAGATGACTCTTCAGAGTTCCTCTTCATCGAATTCTATGACTCAACAGCCAAAGCTGCTCCCTACGTTGGCAAGCACAGATGAACCAGAGGTTGTGATTTTGGACACACCGGTGAGCCATAAGCAGAATGAAAGAGGAAAAGATGATCGCTCCAGCGTGAGTGATTGCCCCAATACTCCTCTGTCTCGTGCTGACTCTGAGCCAGTTGCTTCACCTTCTGTCTCTGCTGTAATTGAAGCGCTACACCTGAGTGATATCGACTGGGATGCTTTGTCCTTCACATCTTCTCCATCCCAACAAGTAGCTACCAGCCACTCCACTGGTCCAGAGCTAAATAAAACCACAGACGGTGAAACAAAGAGTCAAAAAACAGAGCAGAAAATCTCACCTGATGTCAAACCAGTAGACTCCAGATCTGCTCCAGAGCTCTGTTACTCAGAGTGTCCTCTAAGGGAGCGGGTGCTCATGAAGAATACAGCCAAAATCGTGAATCAGGTATGCAATGATGCAGTCAAGTCAAAACCCAGTGGACACATTTCCAGTGAGGTTAGCAAAGAATCTGCTGTTAAGAAAAATGAAGCACGTGCAGAAAAACCCCAGATAGAAAAGCCACCTGCCCCAGCTCAAAGTAAAGCCAAAGACACATTTAATGACTCCAAAAAGCCGTCACACAAATATAAATTTGTCAGGACAGCTATTCAGTCATTGGTTGTCCCACCACAGAGGTGCCACTCTAACCCAGGTACAAGTGACAAGAAGGACGAGAGCATGCCACAGACCACCAAAAAGAGTGTGTGTATGAGCGTTCGTTCATCCAGCGAGGACAGCGACGTGGAGAACCAGAAGTGTGGACCTCAAAGACGGACAAAAACAAAACCTAAACACAAACTCAAAGGCAGCTTTGTTTCAGACTTTCCTCTCAAACCAGTTGCTTCACACGCAGCGACCCAACCAACTGCAAAACCTGCTCGGAGCCTTCATTTAGCAAAACAAAAACCTCAGAGCAAACATTTTGAAAATAACAGCACACCTGTATCAACTGAAAACAACTGCCAGGATGTCCCAGCAGCTGATGTGGGTGCCAACGTGTTCCTTCCCACTCCAGCCTCACCCATCACCGTGTCAGAGAGCGACGACTCTGTGATTTGTAGCAAGAGTCCGCTGCCACTGGCAGAGAGACTGAGGCTGAAATTTCAGAAGTAATCAGTGTGGTTACACGACAAAGGACAAGCTGTTGCTCTTTTAACACTGAAAGTTTACTCTGGACTTTGGAAACACTTGTAACATAAGCTCAAATATTTGATATGGAAGCCTGTGTTTTTTTGTTGCCACTGAAAAAAATCCAAAAACCTTTTACAGTATATAAGTCAAGATTTTAGGTTATCTCAAAATTTCAAATTAATAATGGGATATTTCAAGTTATTTTCTCCTACGTTTGAGTCAGGAAGTTGAAATTTTCAGATAGTAATCCAAATTTTTGACTTTCCAGTGGCAGAAACAAGCTTCCATAATAAATGTAAAACCACACTCAGCAGAAGCTTTTTCTGTCACTAAAAAAATAAAAATCTTTTTTTCCATCCATAATCCAAAATTTTGCAATAATAACCTGAAATTTTAAGATAGTAATCCCCAAATTTCTGGATATTTTCTCAAAATTCCAACATAACAACTTGAAATTTCATGTTATTTTCTCCATATTGAGTTATTTTCTCAGATGTTTGATATAGTAAGGTCAAATTTTGAGATAATAACCAGAAATTTTAATGAATTCAAAACACTCAACAGAATCTGACTTAAGTATGGAAGCTTGTTTCTGCCATTGGAAAAAAAACAAAACACATTGTTTTCATCCTTAAGTCAGTTACTGGTTATTATTTCAAAGTTTCACCTTACTAACTCAAACTTCTGAGAAAATGACTCAATATTAATTATTAATATTAAAAATGTCTGCTTTTCATTGTCTCACAATTATGATTCTAATATCTTTGAGTTACAGTCATTTTCAGTCTTTTAATGTTTTATATGCGAACCTGTTAACCAAGACATGTGAATAGATTTTGCCATAAGCTTACTGTGAATGAAGCTTTCTCTAAAACAGAGGAGACCACTGTGCACAAATAAAGTTTAACATATTTAATACTAATGAAGAATGAGGTTTAATTTTAATGCACCAGAAGGAGGTTTTGGATAAGCAGAGGTTGAGTGTTAAATACTCACTGATGGCACCACATGTGCTCATTTTCTCCCACCGCTGTTTGACAGAGTTGCAGGGAGGAGACCCTGCAGCTGACAGGAGGCACGGAGGAGGCTGAGCCATTGGATTTTTACAACCCACCAGAGTTGGTCCCCTTGATCCTGAGTGAGGCCTCACACCTTTTCAGACATGAAAGGTCTGGCAGGAGCTTGGTGACAGCTGCATCCTCTGCCCAAATAACAACTCTGTCCTATAACACTGGCTCTTTAATCTTATTTGTTTTATATTATTATTAGAATAAAAGCTTAGGACATAAAATATTAGTTTTTCATGTCCAGTTGGTGCGGTAAAGTAGAGTTAGTAGGATTTGTACACATTTAAAGGAGGTTAAAGTACAAGGACAGTCACTTTTAAGAATTTTCAGACAGGATAAAGAGTTTGGCTCTGCAAGTTTATCTTTTTCCAAAGTTTATTCTGGTCTTTATTTATTTATGTTAACGTCCACACTGAAGACACAAGCAGGCTTGCTTTGCCTGAGAGGCGTGAAGATCCCAGGTGAAGCAGCATCCTTCATTAGACAAATCACATCAAACTGATAATTGTCGTCAGGGAGACTTTAAAGTGTAAAGGAATCTAATTATTTTTCTTTCTATCACATTATCCCTCTATTTAGCCTTATTCACACCCCAGTGATAGACTAACGAACCATGTCCTCCGGGAAGGTCGCATTTTGGCACTTGCGAGTTTCTTTGAACTTTTTTTTTTGTCGCTACAGCTGTGAACCTTTAAACCTCCGGAGATCAGCTTCTGTATAAAACCACTTTGGCCAAATCACTTTCACACACTCTCCCTGCCGAAACCCTGAATGCCATCCGTCGCTGCTTGGACGCCTGGATATCCAACATGAACCTGGATGTGGTTACAGCTGAAATATTGTCTGAGTGGAAGTGCCATGAGAGCGCCTTTGAAGAAAACCAAGAGTCACCTCAGCCCACTTCACCTGAGTCACAGAGGGAGTCAGTGTGCTCTTCACCGGAGATGTGCTACTCCAGCCAGCATCGGGAGATCAAAGACTTCTCCTTCACCTTCACGAGCCGAGAAGTGACTGCACCACCGGCGCAAAGGCAAGGCAAGCCAAAGATGTCCACCAAAAGACGCATGAAGGCCAGCGAGCGGGAGAAGATGCGGATGAGGAGCCTCGCAGAGGCTTTGCACCAGCTTCGGGACTACCTGCCGCCGGACTACAGCAAAAGAGGGCAGCCCCTGACCAAGATACAGACGCTCAAATACACCATTGAATACATCAACAAGCTTGCAGACCTCCTGAGTCGCACGTAAAGGCACTGAAAATGGACCGTATTTGGACATTTCGTGAAGTTTCTTTATCTGTTTCTTTTAATACTTTCCTCTTATTTTTTAACAGTTATGATGTAAATATTGTTTACTTTACTTGCCAGATATTTTCTGTATATGAGGGATACTTTTGTTGAAATTATGAACTCAGTGTTTATGTTGACAGAATTTGGAGAAGAGTCGTCGTACTTGATTCGTACTTTTACCCTCCTGTTTTTATTTTATTTTATTTTTTAGAATTTAAGAGAATTGGTAACGTTTTGCTGTGTGAATTTTGTGTTTTTCCTCAAATACTAAAACAGGTCGATTTGTATACTGCTAAATGTTCTGCATTCATCGGCTGTTTTAATCCAAATGAGTTCTACAGTCATGCTTTTCCCCTCAATCTTCAATAAACGTGTGTAATGTGTTGAACGTGTGGGCCGTTTAATTACTGAACCGTTTTCAAGGCTGGAGACCATTGGAAGCACGTTAGCCGAGTCAACCAATCAGAATCCCAGAAAGCGAACCTTGGCCTAAATGACGGTACCAATGAACCAATCAAGTTTAAACATTTATTCCTGGTGGGCGTGACTTTGGAAGCGAGCGTCTCTTCACAAAGAAATCCCAACCTGGGATGTCTGTTTAAGCCGCCATTTCAAAGCCCATCGAAGGTACGAGAGTTGCTAAAAATTTTGTATATATCTATATTTTTTATTTTTCTATTTTTTTTCCATTTTTTTAAGAATCACAAAAACCATATCGTTTTTTAATCTACCTCACCGGCGTCACCGATTTGAAGTAAGTCATTCCAGAAGCGTCAAAAAAATCTACAGAAACGCCCCTTTCTTGGATGACTAACGTTTAGCTTAATCACACGCTTGTCACTGAAGTTTATTCTGTTTATATTTTCAATTAGGAAAATATCATTAAATGTGTCTTTGAAATTTGTTTATATTAGACTGTTCTTTAAAAAATTTGCAACATAGCGTAATTCTGTCATACCTGCCCTGGAAGTTCCAGGAGTTAGACGGGGCCCTTTATGGCTTTACGTGTATATTTTAGCCGGCTGGGCTCACTATTTGCTACTATTCATGAGGGGTATTAAGAAGTATTATTAGAGGCTCGAACTGTATTTGTCGCACAGGTCGTCCCCAACCCCCTCGGCCGCTGCTGCTAGCTTGATATTTAAAAGCTCACACAACCTCAGCTGCCTCCTAGGATCGGGATAAAATTGTTTCCATGACGCTCGACGTGCCTTTGGCTTTGCAGGCTTTCTGTCTTCAAAATATCACTGTAAAATGTACGTATGAACGAGTGTGCTTCATGCCATGTTCATGGCCATTAAACATTTTAAGTGTGTGGCTCAGCCATTGGACCTGTTACATACAAATCTCTCTATATAATAAATCATAAGCAGAACAGTGTACTTTCCGTCTACATCCTGGCTTAAATGGATATTTAGGTGGGTGTAGAATGAGCGACTCATCCCTCATTATTGCAAAATGAGGATAATAAACTAATGGAAATAACTCTCGGGAGATTTAGCTGTAGACTTTATTAGGCATAAAAATATTCAGTGATCAAATTTATGCATTGACTAAAAGTGGGTGTGACAAAACGATAAAGTTAAGAGAAAGGGTAATGATATTAACTAGACTTACAGAAAAATGTAAAAATATGTTCCGTTTTGTGTTTATTATGTAAGACTAATGAAGTCAAAAATACAGGTAAATTAAACAGGACATGTCCTCAGTGTTAGTCTTTGTCAGTGTGGTTAAGTTTTATCCACCCAGCAACCATGAGGAGGTTTTGGTGCATATCTTTATTATAGAATTTCTGTGTAACAAGATTGCCTTTGTATCATAGTAAATTCTGATCTCTTCTGATGTATTCTGATCTTTTTGATAGCCCACACCCTCCTCCAAAAATAAAAATAACACAGGACTGTAATTACTCCTGTTTGAAGGTTTTGAGCCTATTGTTTATAACCTGGGGTTGGTAGTGGTTAACTAATCTTAAGGTAATGCGTTAGATCTTTTAGCTTTCAGCAGGATGAGTTTTTAGAATGAGCAAACATGAGCCGATGTCTTGTTGAAATATATTTAAGCTATTAAAGTCCAGGATATAAAAATGTATGACATGATTTAATTTTTAAGAGAGCTGAAGAGGTGCCACATGAGTATTTAATCAGCCTGTTAATAAAACGCAATTACACAAACTTGCCAGGCAATTACACACAGACTCAAAATTGGAACAGAGCAATCCAAAGGAAGGATAGACGAGTAAATCCTGCCTGTATTTGTGCTGATTCAGCAGCACACAAACACGAGGAAAGTGGAGAGTAATCATTTAAAAGTGAAACAGAACACCAGGGAGACTGACTGCGTTATATCTCTTCATATATACAGTTATCTTCTAGTTCTTTATTGTTCTGTTTTATTAGTCTTGAAGAAATAAATTGATTAAAGGCATTTCCTGTGTACTTATGCAGACAACATACAAATTAGTGTAAAAAACTCACCAGAATGCAGAAAATGAAGTGTCTCTCAGTATATTAGAATACAAGTCAAAAACATTGCAGTGCAGTTTCCAGCATTACATAACAAACACTTAAAAAATAGTATGTTTGAACGCAGCTCTTCTGTTCGTGATGGTGTTCATTGTCTATATCTATATCATTATGTTTTGTACTTGTGAAAAATCACAGGTACAAGTATGAATCTAGTACTTATAACTGCTGATCTTCTGCACATAACTATTGACTTGGGATTGTTTCAGATGGACACGGACACAGAAGAGAGAGTCACAGAAACTTCCATGGATGACTCAGAGAAACATGTAATCCAACTCAAATCCAGGTCTGTCCTGCTGTCTGTTACAGTCTCCTGTTTCATTTGTGTACACATGCCGGTTGTTCGAGTTTAGGTCTTTTTCTTCTGCTTCATCTTTCAGATATGTCTATAGGAAACTGTCATGGCAAGGTCATATGCTATAAATAGTTTACTGTTTTGTCCTATAGTGGCAGCAACTGAGAGAGGTCATACTGTGTCACAGATATAATCTGTAAAAGCTTAACTTTTTTTTAGCCTGGTGTTAAATGATTGTTATAGATTTCACATTAAATCTTCAACCTGGACTCTGTTGTAAATTTTAATGGATGCATACATGTTTTTCTTGTTCTTTAATCTCCAGCAGATTTTTAATTGAACCACAGCAAGTCACAGTAATTAATGTAGTAGTTTTCTACTAATACTTAATCAGGTCCTGCAGATTTTCTTTATAATGATTTAAAGATGCATCTCTTCACACCCATATCTATTTATGTAGTCTAAATGCCTTACTATTTGACAACATGACAATTCCTGTGGTTTTATGCAAGATTAGATATAAAAAAAATTAAAGTGCGTCAGTGTTTTTTTTTTTTTTTTTTTAAATTTATTACAGCTTAACAAGACCAAACCTGAACTAGAAGGACAGTGTCAGTTTTCCCTTTGTTATCTTCCTTCAGGGGTCGTGGGGCCAAAGGCCGTGGGCGAGGGGGACGTATGAGTAGAGGTGGCATGCGTGGTGGGCGGGGCATGATGAAAGGCTTTGGGCCACCAGGACCTGGAAGGGGTCGAGTAAAGGATGGAGCCATGAATGGATTTGGGCCCATGAGGTACTTTTATTGATGTCTGACACATGCATAGTGTTGATGTTCTGTAATATGTAAGTTTTATAACTTGGTTAGTTTCTAAACACATATTTTCAGTTGGTAAACATAAAAAGGAAATGCTTATAGACAGCCACTACTGAGTATTTCAGTATTTAGATGCATTTTAAATACTTAACTTTTGATCCATTACATGTGTCAATTTAGATAAATTATGCTGCGCCTTCTTGCCTTGCAGAGGAATGGGGAGGATGCGTCCTTACCCTGACCTTAGAGGTCCTCGAGGTAGGGCTGGACCCATGGGCATGGGCCCTCCTCTTCCCCCTCCCCCACCTCCTCCTATGCACCTCAGAGGCCCCTTTCCACCCATGCCCAGGTAAACGCCTCATTCAGGCGCATAACATGCACAGACACTCACAAAGCGCATAGTTAGAGCTGACCTGTCACTTTCAAATGTCTTATTCCTTACTGCCTGAAAATGTTCTTCCTCTACAGGCATGGACCCGCTCCACCCCCTCCTCCAGGTCATCCTGGTTTCAGAGGGCGTCCGCCACACCCTCGAGGCCGTGGCATGCCACCCCCTGGACCTCCGCGCCCCTTTCGTCCGCGAGGCCCACGAGGGTAAGCGGTGTTTTAATATTCATATCATGCTTAAGCTTAAAATGTCACAAATCTCGGTGCTTTGTGTGCACGGTAACCAGATTGTTAAATTTAGTGAATCTGAGAGTTTTTCTTTGAGATCTGAGATGCAGCAAAAGCACAGAGGTTTGTGACACTAATGCACAGTCTTTTCTGTCCCTTTCTCTTCAGCCTGCTTATAGTTAAATTCTTTAATCTTCTCTTCAATTTTTTGATAGCTCTGTGTCAAAAAGAGGCAGTTTTGCTTTAATAGTTTCCTACTGTAGCAAATGTAAAGTGAAGTTATTTTTTTAAGCTAAACTCTTAAATAGTGCATGAAACATGAAGCTGTATTTTGCAAGTTCAAAGGTGCAGAGCAGAGGGGATCTCAGTTCCCCCGCCTTAAACTAGAGTCTTTCAGATGGCTGCTCTTATCAGAGTGTGCCCCCTATTGGCCAAAGCCAAGAATCCAATGTGTGATTTTATCCTTTTACACAGCTACCACAATGGACCGGTCTCTCCTCCGCCTCACCCCCCACCTGGCAGAGGCCAGAGGTGGCCAGGCCCCCCTGGTGGCCGACGCTTTTAATACAGCCTGCTCTAAAAACTATAACTAAGCAGCTGTTAATGTAGAAGGGGCCCTGTAGTCGTGCAGTGAATGAAATGCCCCAGAATGATGTGTTTATAAAAAAATAAATAAAAGTCTGAGTTATCTTTTGAGTATCTTAAGAAATACTCTGTGCCGACATGTTTGGTTGTTGGTATTGTCCACTGGCAAAGAGAAAAATGTGAATATGACTAAAGGGCAACTGAGGACAAATTAAAAACGATTTATAACCGAATAATGTAAAGGGATTCCCAAGTTCTGTTACCTATAAATACTGTTCGTATTTTAATAGAAGTTGTTAAAACGAGTTTGTTCTCCAAAATTAAATGTTCTGTGTTTCTTGTTACAGTCGCCCTGTGAGCCTTTTTCCTGACCCCTAATGAATAAAGGTTAACAAATGGGGTGACACTGTGTTTCTGAAGGTGGGGGTAGAGGGGAAAATTTTAAAAGGGAGGGGAAGGAGTGCACAGCAGCCCTCAAACACTACTGTTTATTAGTTTGGTCCACCTTGGACCTCCCTAATCGTTCCTCATGCTACATGGATATAGTTATGTATTCATAACCTCACTAAACAGTGCACTAATTATTGTTTGACACGTTTTACAAGTCTTTATCCAGCTTGTCGAGTATTAATGAGTATTTAATTTCATATTATATATCTTTTAATGTGCAGGTATTTTAAGTTATGAGTATTGCTGTTTGGAACATTCATGTTTGTCTCCAGCAATCGATTGTGTGATGACAAAAAGGCATTATAAATGAATATAGTATATATATATACACACACATATATACCAGGTTTCTTAATTAGAGCAAATTCCATTCATATTTGCTCCAGTTAATGATAAGAAGTTACTCTTTACTGTGTGTTTTTTAAGTGTTACTATTTTATATTCATTGTAATTAACATAACTTGTGAAACTGTGAATGTGTTTTGAGAACCGTCAAGAGATAGACGTGAAAGAACAAAAATAATAAAACAACAAAAAAATAAACTCAACTTCTTCTTTTTTTATTTGTTCACAAACAAGTCTGAGAGTTGTTATTACCGACTACAACGTCTCTGTGAAACAGAATGAACTGCATTGTAAGTGTGAGCTTACATTTATTTATGTGATACTTTAAAGTGAACATTTGATTCGTGTAATTAATAGTTTTGCTTTAGTTTTTACTATCTGGAGGACCAGGAAATCTTGATGTTCACTTTAGATCTCACTGAATTCTGTAGACTGAGGGCTTCAATTAATTTATGGCTTAAAAAATGTAAAACTAAACTATGGATTGTACTTATAGTAAAGGTTTACGGCCTTGTAGCTACCAGTGTAAAATTGATTGGAGGACACGGAGCCGCTCCACATACAAGACATCTCTCAGTTTAAAATGAGTGGTAGCATGTCTAAAAGGAGGACATCATCTGAACAGACACTCTGATATGACCAAGAATTATAACTTATTTATTCTGTTTCTAAAAGATGCTGACCCCGTTTCAAAGGGGACAGCTGGCTCAGAAAACCGCACTATTCTAAATTCTGAGGTTTTTTTTGTTTTGTTTTTTTCAGTCAAATCTATTTATCTTATCTCCTGTACTCTTGTATAATTTCAAATATAATTAATTGCTTGCATGCATGAAATAGTTCCACCTTTTTATATTTAATAAAAATAATAATAACAATAGATGTGGGTTTACAATGTGCACACATTTGCTCAAATTGGGGTATAATGATTTAAGAGGGTCTTCGGTTTTACAGTTTATTCGTAGTGTGGTGATTAAGGCCAGCTGAATTTTTAAAGCTAAAAGCAAAGGTGCAACCATCTGAAGAAAATAATTTTTACTAGATAAACGAGGACTTTATTCTGTGAACCACACGTTGCTTGAATATAGGTACACGTGCAAGGAGAGGTGATAAGTAAATAGCCACAGCCAGGTGTTGCATCCTGCCCCCTTTCTCTTCCTGTCTTTTTCCATTTCTTCAACACTTTTGACTACATTTTGCTACATCAGCCTCTGCAGTCCCAGTTTCTCCCTTTAGTTGATTATAACAGACTGACTGTTGTTGTCTCCTGAAGGGGGTGGGGGGGGGGCACACAGTACAGTTAACCTCCCAGGCCCCAAGGAACCCAGGCCCTCCCTCACATCTCTCCCCTCCTTCACCAGCGGCGTGACACCTGAGGTTCGGCACGTCACTTGAAAAGGTGAGCCTCCTCTTGTGTCTTAATCCCTAAACCCCTTCCTCTGCAAAACAAGGAGCTTCTCTCTTTCAGGACCTCAAGGTGGAGAAACTTCAGAGTCATACTGGGGATTGGTGAGATTTTAGAGGATTTGTGGGTTTGGAGGTGCATCTGTACCATGATGGGGAAAATGGCATGCTTGATATATAGCGCGTAGTCTTCTACTCAGGAAATCAAGATGTTTCATTTAACTACTTCTAGTCTAATGTGGATGGTGCTTTCTAGCTCACTTCCACACCTTATTGGACACATGAAGCCCCTGTTAGCTGTAACGGTAACATTCCTGCTGATATCACAGGTTAGACTATGTACTGAGAAGCAATGGAATGACCCACAGATTAACAATGCTTTGGTTCAGGAGGCCAGCAGACATTTTACACTCTTCAGTGTTCAGCATAACATTTTTTCCCCTGCTGGGTCACAGAGGAAGGCTGTCAGACTTTTTATCTTTTTGACCAACAAAAAGCCATTTTAGTTCATTTATAGTTGGAATATAATTTATAGAATTTATCAGTGGTTTATATTATAACAAATTTTAAAGTGGTAGAATTAAAGATCTATTTTTTATCTGCACACAGCACTTTAATTTAGCTTCTTGGTAATTTAGCTACAACAGATAATAAATTTATCAGACCACCTATCACTTAAAACAAAATACAAGATACATTTTATATTGTTTAGAAATTTGTCAAAAACTTATTTCAAACTAAAAATATTATTTATATAACAGTGTTCATGTTTTTATACCCAAATTTCAGCCACATTTTCACACAGGATTTATAAGAAGTCAGAAATTAAATTAAATAATTTAATTAAACAAATTATAGTTCAGCATTTAAAATATGATTTTGATGATTATTTAGTAGAGGAACATAGAGATTTTGGTAACTATCAACACTGTTAATTTAGGACAGCTGTGGTGGTCCAAAACACTTTAAGCACTGTTGTTGTGTAAACTGAACCAGTGGTTGTCTGTCTCTCCAGCTGGAGGATGCTACATTTACAGATTTACAGGACTTTCTCACCACTGTTGCGTCATTTTCTAAGTCACTATCGTCCACTGTTTACATTTAAGGGACTATATTTCAAGAAACATTCAGTGATTAGAGCCATTAGAAGCAGTATAAGCTACTGGCAATCATACTTAGGTATTTAGACTATTTTTTTATTTTTTTATTTTAAACAGCATACAAAAATGGTTTCAGGAAGGTATAGATGCAATAGTTTGATTAGCTGAAATTCAACTAGGATTTGATAAAGCCTGTCTGAACCTACTTGAATGCTTGCTAAATGATTGAGATTCCTGTGTGGCGCGTGTGGCCAGGTTTTAACAGACAGGATAGATTTCAAAATGAAAAGGCCAACAAAACTAGCAAGCAAAAAAGATCCCTCCAGTGAACTTGAATTAGTTGACACTTAACTCCTCTACAGCATAAAGAAACGATTAAACACCTCCACTTTTTCCTTTTGAAGGTAACCATACGATGAATACACGTAAAATAAAATGAGGTGCCAATCATCAGATTGACTACGCTGTTTTGTGATTTGATGTATACTGTTTTAATCAATAAATGTACAAAGCGAAGGTCTCGTGTGTGCTGGTCTTGTATCTGCACATATACATACAGTTCATCCCGATATCACTGCAGCTCGTCAAACAAAAACTTTTGACTTATTTGAAACATAGTCCCAGATAAACTACAACCTGAACTACAAAGAATGAGTTGTGTGCATATTCAGTTTATTTCACATAGCTTTGCAACAGAACAGACAACATGCTTTAAAAAAAAAAAAAAAAACAATCACAGGAAAACACATTTAATAGGCATCTGTTAGTCACAGGTGCTGGATTTACTGGCTGGGCTTGTCGTCTGTGGGAATTTCCTTCCACATCGGTTCAAGGATGTGATCAGGAACCTTCTCCATTGCAGTCTGTCAACATGAACAGAATAGAAGAGCGAGAACGTCATATGAAATTTGCCCTTTCCCACACTGAATTGCACAGATAGGGAAGGACTGTCATATTCACCTTTACTGGGAAACGTCCGAAGGAGTATTAGACCACATTAAGAAATTTTTTTTTATCATTTTGAGAATAAAGCCAAAATTTTAAAAAGGCCAAATGGGCAGATTAGTTGTTTCAAGACAAACTGCACCAGCTGCTATACACTTTACAAAATACCTTGTTTAGACAAGTCGATTAAAACTAAATGATCAGCCGTCTTGTGATCCAACATGCGTACTTTTTATTGCACAATGGTGCAACCATCGATAACCTTCCATTTGTTCAATACCAGCCATTTCATTTTGGACAAATCCACTCTTCCAGGTGTGTGGTTTTCTGTCTGACCAGATGCAGTTTTCTGCAACATCTTTTCAACGTCCTTATCCTTAACATACTGAGCTAGAAGGGAAATCGTTTCCCACCTTGTTACTAAAACCGATTCTTGAGTTCATCATCAAAAGAGGGTAAAGCACCTGTGGAAGTTGTAAACAACTGTAATCTACACATTTCAACTTCTCAAAATAGATTTTAATTTAATATCAAAATGATCACATGTATATTAGGGTTTTTCTTTTGTCAAGGGTTAATTTTTTTCAAGGGAGAATTCATTTCATGTTTAACTGAAAACATTGTGCATATTTTGTATCCTTTGTATCCAGTTTTGACTTCAACCAGTCCACACTATTCGTTTATAAACCTTTAACATTTAGTCAACTGAAATTATCTCATGGCAAATAGATACTTGAGCTTCTCTTTACCATTTGTATAGATAGGGCTACTCAGTTTTCCCAGCTCAGATCATCAGCATCAGTTTCCTCTTAGCTGTATTCTGTGTTAGCTTCTTAGCTGCCAGGTGCACCTTTCTGTGGGGTTTGGTGTATACACTGGGGCTGTGATACTGCAGACACCAGCTACAACAGGGGACAGGCCAAATTTATTAACAACCTAAGTTAGGAGTGGGAAATTAATTTTCCCAAGGGGCCACATTAGAATTGGGAATATCATGGAGGGCCACACCAATAAGCTTTGCAATGGAAAGCATCTAGCCGGCAGGCACTGATATTGATGATACTGGTGCGCGAGTTTGGGTGTACATCGATCTCTACAAAACCTCACCTTCGTCACCTCCATGGCTACACCTTCCGGAAGATTCCTCTGAATGTATTCAAGGTATACTTGTGCTGTACAGCCTGTTATATGATGCAGCTACGGAGACAAAAAATAAAAATAAACATATTAAACGAATTACCTTATAATGACATGCAATAACTGGCACAAACACAAAGCTCATTCATGTTATTGTGCAAAGGTTAGAAGTTTCCAGTAAAATGTAACTAGGTGAATAATACTGAACTCCTTTTAATGGCTTTTTGTGCATTTTTTTTCTTGTTTGATTTTAATTTTTTTTTTTTAAATTAGAGCTTCTTACCTCGATGCACCGGTAGTGAGTTCTCATCTCATACTGGACCCTGTGTTTTTTGAAAATGTGTATTGACTTCAGGAGTGTTAACCTCTCAATGTCCTTCGGAGGTTCAAAACTGTGGTGGAGGAAGGAGATCCCAAAAAAGTCATGGCATTACAAGAAGATTTTAGACAGAAACTTTACTAGAGTTAGTGTGTGGCTGCTAAAACTCACACTTTTCCAAGACTGATGCCCAGTTCTTTAGCTGTCATGGTGGCAAAGAACTCATAGCTGTCCAAGACAGCTCTGTCATGACCTTTAACCAAAACCACTAGTTTCTGGAACAGTGTGTCCGGCTCCTCTGTGACTGTGATCTGGACCAAGGGAGAGAAAAAAAAAAAGCCTTAACACCACATGCAATTCCAAGCGATGGCCTTTGAATATAAACCACTGTAGGTTTGTTGTATTTCACTACAGCACCAGCCTGATATAAGAATGATAATGATAACTTACTGCCGATTGTGCTGCTGACGTTAAAACTGTCGTGTGGAAGGAGGTGCTGGGAGTCAGAGGGAGGTGAAGCCTGCAGAGGAGATACAGAATAACTGCTTATACAATAAATGCACTTAGGAAAAAGTGCACTTCAACTGCACAAGGTGCTTAATGCCTCTGGGCTTTTCTGGCTTAGCTTCATGGTGTTCCAATTCACTGCCTGAATATACTGCTAGTGTTGTTTTATTTTATTAAGGATTGTGAGTATACTGTACCTATAAGATGTCCTTTTCTTTACATTATTTACTTAATTTCCATGGAAAAATAAACACGTTGCATTCCAATACAGCCAAAAAAAAGTGCTCCAAAAACACATGCTATTTATCTTTACTGACAGATCTTATCAAAAAACAGTAAAAACTCTTTGTAAATCTCTTCATAATTTAATTTAAAACTGCTGCACCCATGCTTCGTGTGAAAATTCATGTGATTCACGTTAGCAATTATGGCTCAACTCATTTAAAAGATTGGGGGGGTTGACTTACCGAGTTATATTACATTTCCTGTGACCCGAACAGACACTCAAACTTGCCGGTCCCTGAAAACAGAATCAAACTCTTTTTATTGAAATGTTCAAATGACTTTTATTTTGTTAACCTCGGTTGTGCAGCTGCCACGAATGGCCAAAATCTACGATTGGCTAACTAGCTACGGTAATTTTTCCAAACCTAGATACCTGCCATGTTAGTAAACTGTTAGAAAACGTTATCTAAAATGAAAAATAAGTTAGTTACCATACCAAATATGAGACACCACTCAATATCCTTGCCAAAGAGAATAATTCACGTCTGCGAACCATGAGAGACGCCATGTTTTTGAGAGAGCGGACAGAAGGTGAAATCATTTCCCTGTGCTGCCCCCTTGTGTCTTGGAGGATAAATGAGGTGAGCACTAACGAGCTAGTGATGAGTACCAAGTATCCAGTCTACAGTCCCATCTAAACCTTTCATGGTCAAAAAAACTGAGAATTAAAGACTAAGATTGGATATATTATATTCAAATATATTTTCACATTTACAAGTCATATGAATAAAAATGTAGTCTGCACTTGACTACGGTGACATTATTTATGTATGCTTATGATGTTTCATCTACCTTGTAGCTTCCTGATTCTGTCACGGTGATTTTTGTCACAGGTGATTCTTCTCTTGATCATCACCACATCTTATTTGAAAAAGTGGAGTTAGTCAGTAATGTATGATCTTTCTTTACAAGGTTCAACTGCAAAGACTGCCTGTTAACCTCTGGTCCTTGATTTAATTTAAATGCAGTATCTGCAAAGTCACTGGGCATTTTAACATTAGATTTATCTCTTATTCATACTTTTAAATACTTTTCTGCCTATAAACGGAATGAGCAATAAACAAAAACAAAGAACCCAAAACCTAAACAATTACTTTGGCACATTTGTTTTCTTAATTTGTGATCATGAATAATATGTTGTTTTATTACACATTTATACACATCCACATTTGTATTTGACCTGAAATATGCTTCACATTATTGTGAAAAAACAATTTATGGAGGCTGCTTATACAGTTGCTGTATGCGTGTACTTAATGTACTTAATACAGGTATATTTAATGTAGATGCTTAGATGCATTCTTCTCCAAATTTGTGAGAACCTAGTTTAGAACGGTAAACTGTTATTGGATTGACTGTTATTTGATTATGGTGCTATTGATATGAACAATTTTAATTGGTCTAAATCACGTGCCTGTCACGTGACCCAGCAGTAGGGGCCCAGCAGTGTACAGTTAGCAGGCTGCAGGCAGAGGAAGAAGCAGCGGTACGGATCCAAGGTAGGCACGCCACTGACCGCTGATGTTTCTGTGGCTTTGTTGGACACATGGTTTATATTGTTTAGCCACTTTGTCACTACATCGCCGAGGTGTGTGTGTTTTTTTTAACAGTTGTGTCCTAATATTAAATAACTATTGCCATAAATCGTTTGCTAATGTGCTAACCGTAGCTTGCTAGCGAGTGCCAGCGGCGGGTGGACGGAGCCAGCCTGGCGCTGATAGCTGACCGCTTAGCCGGTTAGCTGTCTCCGGTTGTTGTTCATGGAGAAGAAGAAAAAGAAGAATCGTGACAGACAGCGTTAGTTAGCCGCATTCCCGAGCATCTCGGATGGATTAGCGTTACAGCCCAGCGCCAGACTCATGAAGGGAGGAAAGATTAATCCCGCGACTGGAATGTTTTGATGATCAGTGGAGACCACAGAGCTCTCGGTCTGGATCCAGGTTCTGGCTAGCTATTGCTAATAGGCAGGCAGCTTATGGTGATTGATGTTTTTGGCTAATTTTCCACCGTCTTACAGGCTTAAGCAGTGATTATTTGGTTGTCAATAACCATTGTATCCTTCTTATGTTATTTTTACGAATTGGCGTGGTTTAATGGCAGATGGCTTTTTCGAGAGGCACCTATTATCATGGCCACTGGTTTACGATTTAGTGATACTGGAAATGGTGGGGAAATCTCGGGATCTTGTAATCACCGCTGACTTAATCTTAATGTCGATTATATTTCCAAATAGCCATTCTCATTCAGCTATTCTTTGTTGGGCTTGATTTTTATTGTCTCTGTATTAATAAATAACGTCCCTTTGTGCCTCTTCGGTCTGTCTTGTCTGTCTGACCTGCTCGGGTTCATTTTAAAGCTGTTATTCTTTTATTTGTTCTTACCTCTCTGTTACGGTCTTTGTTGTTTACCTTTCGTCTATTTTGTTTTTTAAACGTTTGGCCGCGAGAGGCCGCCTTACTACAGCTTTGTCGCCTAATTAAATGGAAGCTAAAATGATAACTGGCTCCTATAAATTATTAAGCGGGTAGTTAAATGCCCTTCCGCTGAACAGGATAGTCCTCAAAGTAAAATTGCTGCTCGAAGAGTAAAGGCAATTTTTAGCCGAGCGCATTAATATTTAAATTAACGGCAGTGGGCAGCAAGTGAGCGCTTTTCCACAGCTTGTGTTGTTACACAATTCTCTTGATTTCTTAACTACATTTTTATTTTTATTTTATTTTTCGTGTTTTTCTATGTTATATATAAACGTCGTTTTGTGTATTACCCAACAGTGCTCTATGGAATCCCCGAGGCCGATTGAAAAGGCGGGCCGGCTGACGTAATGACGTTACCGGGAGAAGCGGCTCTCCTGTGGGCTGTCAGCTGATGGAGAGGAGTCCCTGCTTCTCCTCTCTCAGACACAAACTGGGATCAGATGAGGAGGATGTGGAGCACAGAAAGGAGACAATGATGATACTTGGAATGAATACCTGCCTGTTTTATAAGTTTACAAGATAAGGCGCGTTTTTGTTTTTTCTTTTTTGGGGGGTTGATGCTTGTTTTGCTCAGCTGATAGGAGTCTCAACTTTACCTTGGTGGATATCTAAATATTTTTTTAGGCACTTTCATTTGGTGCCTTCTCTCCGAAACAGCACGTACTTGGTAGCATCACATCAAAAATGACCTGAGTGCCTTTTTTTGTGTGTGTGCCACCTCATTTGGCTACATAACATCATTAATCCAGCAATGCTAAAATCCACCTGTTTTTTGACCTCACCTGTGCTTTCTGGGGAAGTTTTTATTGATCGCCTTTAGTCACTATTCCAGATCCCCAAGTAAAAGCACCAGTACTATGCACCGTTGTCGCTGTCTCATTTCTGACACGGAACTGGTAACCTCAAAGGAGGAGACGTGCTGATAACAGTAGTTGTCCTCTCCGAAGAACCTCCCTAAGGGTACTTTTTATTCTGGGAGTGTAGAGAGCTGCAGGCATGTTCGCTGCTGTGGAGCATGGCCCGGTCCTGTCCAGTGACTCCAACATCTTATGTCTGTCCTGGAAGGGCAGGGTGCCCAAGAGTGAGAAGGAGAAGCCGGTATGCAGAAAGCGTTACTATGAAGAGGGCTGGCTTGCCACCGGGAACAGCCGAGGAGTGGTTGGGGTTACGTTTACATCCAGCCACTGCAGACGGGACCGGCCCACCCCACAGAGAGTAAACTTTAACCTCAGAGGGCATAATAGTGAGGTAAGAGGTTCAAGTACAATTGTTTTTGAATAGGACTGTTAAGATGTCTATGTTAATGCTTCATCAAACAGTCTTTGAAGCTCTTAAAGGCCGCAGTCGTGTTATGGAAGCTGTTTTAAAATGTCTTATAATCAAAAATGTATCTCAGGAATATTTAATTAGTAAATCTTCTATTTATTTATTTTTCCCACAACTTCAAGCTACTCTGATATTTCTTCCTCTTCAGTTATACTTAATAAAGCAAATTTTCAAAATCATTATTTTTACGTGTTTAAAGCAGTATTTGAGAAGTTTCAGTAAAAGTAGACTAGTTGATCCCCTTAGAAAAGGCTGCTTAGTCCAACTTATTTTAGCTCGTGAGCCACATACAGTTATATTTGTGGGTTGTATGGAGCTCAAGTGGGTCGAACCAGTAAAATCACTACATTTAAAAACAAACAAACAAAAAAAACACCTCTTCACATTGTGGGAGGCTGAGGGTTTTGTGTTTTCCTGCGGTGGTTGATATTCATTAACCGTAAGTTGCCAGTTAGATCAACTTTTTAGTTGCAGTCAAGATATGTATACAAGATATGCATGCTCTTCCTAGTCAATACATTCTGTTACTCCAGACAGGCTTTATTCCTATCCCTCAGTATAGTAATAACCCTCAAAGATTCCCACAAAGAATGCATTGAGGCAATTTAGTTGAACCAAAAAGACTGGATGACTGTCTGAGTCAAATGTCCCAGCAATATTAAATATTAATAAGGATTTTTTTTCTCACACACACAAGACAAGTGGAGATTGAACACAGGTTGCGTTTTCTATTTAGTGGGTTTAGCTGTTGGTTAGATGGAGTGAGGTGCAGTGTCAGCACTCTCCGAGGCAGCTGAGGGGAGAGTGGATGAATCCCTACACGGTGTGACTGAAGCACAGCAGTAATTCCATTTAACTCTGACCACTTAAACATTCAGCTGTTACCCATATAGTCTAATCTAAAATCTAATCTTATCTAAATAATAAGAAAAACATTTACACCAGATGTTTTTGATATTTCTGATAATCTCATTTGATGTCTGCATCTTCCTTTTCTGCACTCACGGAGTTTGGCACTGCACTATTCATTTGTGCCCACAATTTATTTCACACTTAACTCTCAGATTGCTTGCTTTTAGGACGTACATGTTTTTATTTTACTTTTTTATTTATTTTTTGATCAAGATTTGCACATTTTTACTCTTTGACCTCATTCCAGCGCTAGTAATGAGTAGTAAAGGTCTTCTCCAGTTCCACTCTTGCTTTGATATAAAGCAGTAAATAAATGCTTTGGGCGATGTGGAATCCATCACTCACGCACTCTATGCATAATTTGGGGTTTCTGACAGTGGTGGAAATTACGCTGCCTAATGAATTCTGTCAAGTTGTGACAGATCGGTTCACTCACTTGGGTCATTTCTCATCTCAGTTGTGATGAAGAGAGGGCAGATTGCAATACATATTATAATACAAAAGAAATGACCCCCAGGAGCACGCTATATACGCTGTACTTGTTTTTTTTTTTACTTTGCATTCCTTGCACCACTTGACTTTTTTTTTTTTTTTTTTTTACTGTCTTTCAAATTAAACTTGCAGCATTGCATTTACATATGTATTAATGTGTATTTATTTATTATCACCTTTTATTTATAGAGGTTCATTCTTGTCAGTGCATTTGCCATAACCCTTTGTCTATAAAAGCTGCTCTTTCAGCATCAAATGCCGTTAGTCCCCTGACAGTCCTGTCCTTTAAACGTCAGCTTTGTCATTGAGAACTTGCCATTG